AGTTTGTGCCCCGCTCACCCCTTTACATTGATTTTTGATGTGCTGATCCACTTGAAATCAGATGTAACAGATCCAGCATACCTCAGCGTGTCCTATGGTACGATCGCAAGTGTGTTTAACATCTTTAAAGAGCTTCAGTTTTTCTCGCAGTAGCTTCAGTACAGTCTGGAGCTCTGTCTGGAAACAATCAGCAATATATAAAGCTTTACTATTTACTATGAAAACTATTTAATAACAATTACAGTCAGAAAGATTATGGCTTCATATTTTCTTATGTCTGACCTTTATAAATGTTTACCCTCTGATCTTGCACAACCTCATCAATTGGACAGAGGTCATGATTTCTATGTTTCTTTGATGTTTGGCAAACTAAGCAGACAGGTAGTTTGTCATTCAGACAGAAGAGTTTCAGTTTCTCATGGTGCAGACTGCAGAACTCTGATGAATCTGAAGCTTTCTGGTCATTGTTCTTTAGGAAAACCTCACACAGGTTCTTCAGCACAAGGTTGCATGGAGGTTCAGATTTTAGAGGATCTTCTTCTACAAACAGGACAATTCTGAAATTCATTGGTTGTCCAGAACTTCACTAGACTTTTAGCACAAACTGTGGCTACAAGACAACAAAACCGGCTCATTGAAGATATCACAGCACACAGGACAGGAAAGATCCTCTTCAGAGAAAATTGGTTTAGAAGCCATTCTGTTATTTAAATTCCTTTTGCCTTTGTTAAATGCATTTAAAAAACACAAACAAATTGCTACTCTTCTCAACAAAAACCTGCCCTGCAGACCACAATGAATCAAGATGTGTGCAAGACAGGGTAGCAAATCACTTTCACTTTAAAAAAAAAATTTTTTTTGATAAGAATAGGTTTTGTTTTCAGCAAAGGAGGTTTTTCATTGGTCAAGTTGCCAGCTGACCAGTTTTACAGACACTGTTACTATGTGACATCAGTTCCTTTTAATAGGTTACTTGTTGCGTACTGTCGCTATGGGAACTCCTGGTGTGACGGATATCTGAAGCCCTTATCCACCTTATTTCTAAACGTGGAAATAAGCCTATGGGTGAGACTTTGGGTTCATTAGCCGCTATAGGGAAATAACGAGAAGAATAACAATGTGCAGTAAACGATAGAACTGTTGCCATGACTCCAGAGGCTGTTAAGGAGCTCAGTTACGGGTTACTGACTCGGTACTTAGAGCTACCAATCATACTGCCTGGGCAATAGCCTGGTCCATGGCAGGAATGGTGGCAGTTGAGTGCCATCTTTGGCTTACTCTAACTGACATCAAAGAAACGGACAAAACTTTCCTTTTAGATGCCCCCATGTCTAAGGACGGTCTGTTTGGAGAATCTATTACTGCTGTGGTGGAAAAATTTTGGCAACAAAGAAGCAGTCTTCTGTTTTTTGTTTATGCTGCAGACTGATGGGTCTTATGGCAGCAGCGTCCCATGTGGTTCAGTTGGGCCTGCTCCACATGAGGCCATTCCAGTGGTGGATCAAAAGCCAAAACATTTCACCTCACTGCCACCCAAGGCTTTCATGGTCTGTATCGGAGGACAAGGCTCCATTTCTTTCACAGGGGAGTCCAGCTAGACACGTCCTTCACGGGCTGGGGGCAGTCTATCAAGGACACCTGACCTTTGGAACCTGGACAGAGGTGCACCGTGGCTGGCACATAAATTGATTAGAGATGCTGGCAGTGTTTCTGCTACTCAGACGGTTCTTACCATATCTGAGTGGTTGTCACATATTGAGGGGCTTTCGCACCGGAGGAACCTTTTCACAGTTCCTAGAACTATTGGCAGAAATACCTGCTTTTGGGCATGTATGCCGAGTTCTAGGAACTCCGTTTGGGGGAACTAAACTGGGGGAACTAAATTAGCTCCTATTTCAGAGTAGGGTCTAAAACAGTTCTATAGGAACTAACAGTGTACACTGATTGGCCAAACTCATACGAAACACTAGCTACCTGGCATTTTTAAAAAGCCATGTAAAAATATTTACTCCACAAACATGGAAAACAGCGATAACAGCATTTAGCTATCTGTTGTCTGCAACGTTCTGTTCTTTTCTCAGCCTCGATGATAACACTACAAGTTGTCATCAGAGATTTAGTCAGATTTTAATGCTCTTTCAATCGTGTAAAGTCTTAGCTGTCTGCTGCTTGAGTTCCTGCTGTGTGAATGCAACCAGCAAACCGGCCCGAGGGGGAAATTGGTTCTCTAGGAACCACCATTCTGGCTAGTTCCTAGAACTTCCTGAGCACCTTTGGTCAGGACGGACAACATGAATGTTGTCTCGTACCTGAATCGCCAAGGGAGACTACGTTCTCACCCCCTGTGCAGGTTGGCGAGACGTGTTCTTCTTTGGGTGCAGACCAAGTTTCTGTCAGTCAGAGTGGTTCATGTCCAAGGTCATCTGAACTATGGAGCGGACCTACTTTCGGGGCAGAATTTAGGTTACACCCTCACATGGAAGAGGTTCAGCTAAGCGGAAGTGGACTTGTTTGCTTTGATCACGACTACACATTGCCTGCTATGGTTCTCCCTGTCTCCTGCTCTCTCAGTGACTGCTCTTTCAATCAGCCCTTCTTGTATAGACTTTGCCCAGGGCTGGTTAAAGTTTTGCTGCGACCTAGGCTTGAGTTTATTCCTAAGGTTGCTTCAACCCTATTTCACTTCCAGCAGGTGGTCTTGGAGGCTTTTTTCCCCATTCTGATGCGGGGAATGGAAGTGACGTGCGACTTCCTAGTCTTTGCCGGGTAAGGGCGTTGAAGATCTGTGTTGACCGCGCAGTCCAGTGGCGTAGATCTGACAAATTGTTTGTATGTTTTGGCGGCAAAAACAATGGAGCTGCTGTCACCAAACAGAGAATGTCTCATTGGGTGGTTGACGCTATCTCTGCAGCCTATGAGCGTGTGTCTTTGGCTTTGGGGTTTGTAAGTCACTATTCTTTATAAAGAGGCATTAAAGCAATATGTATTCTGAAAAGCAATGTACAAACAAACTGAAATTGAAATATCATTTAGCATATTCATATATTCAATATGAAATATATTCAGCATATAAAACTACTTTGTACAAACAAAAAAATGTGAAATACTGCACAATATTCCTTATTCTATGCCATATTCACATAGAATGACTCTCCCTGGAGTAAACTGGTATTACTGTTAGGCACAATGATTAAAACAATCTTTCTTCTGGTTAATGGCTCATCACAACTTCTCTCAACAGGTGATTTCCAGTGGTAAATTTGCTTTCATCACCAGGCATAATTGCAAACACAAAATTTACATTTTAAGGACTATTCCAGGTTCGATGCAAGTTAAACTTAATCAACAGCACTTAATTTTCTTTAAAATTTAAAATTAAAATCTGCTTTACAGTGGAAGTGTATGGGGCCAATCCGTACACATTACAATCCACAGTTTCAATAGTACAGAAACAAGATGAAAACAGCGTTTTAGCATAAGTATGAAAGAATAACTTTAGATATGTTCACACTGTCAGTTTTTGGGATTGACAACCACATTTACTTACAGGTCTGAGTCTCAAAATGTCCCGATCACACAGTGACTTACAGTAGCGTCTCGAATACTGTCTACGAACTTACAAGAGTCAAGCTTGTGTTCCTTATCAGTAGCCACAGTGACTAAAGTAATATCAAAGATGGCGACATTCAAAAAACTGAAGTGTCTTTTCACTTTTGGACACAACAAGAGTCCAGTCGAGCCGCCAGTTCATCCATCATATCTTCAATGCAAGCTTTTTATCTGAGTGGAGAGGTGTATATGACTTTCTTCTTTTAGACAAATACATTTGGAGTCATATTTAAAAATGTCCTGGCTCTTCCAAGCTTTATCATGGCAGTGAATGGTGGTCAAGATTTTGAAGCAAAAAGTGCATACATCCATCATTTCTAGCTTCTGCTAACTGTCATATGCGCGTTCAGGAAAGAGTGGCGTTCCAGCAGATGACGTAGGATGTAGGCATAGTGTAAGCTCCAGTGAGAAGTGATGAACATAGAAGCACAGAGAGAGCAAAACAAAACACGGTCATGAATTAGAAGTACAAAATGATTATTTGTAAAGAAACATGTCAGAGGATTTCAATATAAGCCAAGAGACTGGTTTTCCTTTGCTGTAAATAAAACTTTGTTCTCATCCGCTAGAACGCCACTGTCTCTTGAACGCGCGTACGGCAGTTAGTGGAAGCTAGAGATTACAGCTTAAAAAGTTTTAAATATGGATTTTTCAGAAGGCTTTTATGAATGGATATTATTGCTTCAGAAGGCCTTTATTAACCCTTTCACACGTGAGTTTAAAATATAATAGTTGAGCCACCGGCGACCGTTATTTTATAATGAATTGTTGAAGAGTTGTGATAATATGACAAGCACTCAGCGTGTCCGATCTGGCTCCACAACAGCCACAGTGTGAAAGCAGATTTGAATTCAGCAGTTGATCATGTGATGCACTGAACATTCGAATCACACCGGTCTGATCGTACACTCCAGGGAGCAGCCTAGAGTGATCACACCGGTGTGATTATACATGATAAAGGGTTAACCCCCCGGAATCGTGTGGAGTCCTTTTTATGATGGATGGATGCACTTTATTTTGCTTCAAAATTTTGACCACAATTCACTGCCATTATAAAGCTTGGAAGAGCCCGTAAATTTTTTAATGTAACTTTGATTGTATTCGTCTGAAAGAAGAAGGTCATTTACACCTAGGATGGCTTGACGGTGAGTAAATAAATTTTCATTCTTGGGTGAACTGTCCCTTTAAGGACTCAAACACAGGACTGACAAGCATATTTTGCTGCTGTGTGAACATGGCCTTTCTAAACTTTTCTGTGTCAAGTTGTGTACCATTTTACAACATTATAATGGATATATTTTAATAACGTAATAATTGGAATGCATAAAAATCCAGATTCCTATATTTTTTTAAACAAGGGATGAGTCAAAAAAAAAAAAGTGTTGAATTAGATTATCTTAACATTCCTGTAAGGCATTTAGAAGACACTCATATTCAGAGCTACTTATAAGAGTGCTTTAGCTTCACATATGAGATTGGCATGGTCAACAGATGGCAGGCATTTTTTTTTTCCAAAATTCTTATTTACAAATGGTTCTGATAGTAGTCAAAAACAATGTAGGGCAAGATGAATTACTTTGTCTATACAATAACACTCAACATTGAGTTTTCCCACTCACAATACTGTTACTGAATACAAAACCCAGTCTGTGATTCTTAGTCTATCACAGTATTTTTCTTCTATTTAGTCATGTCTGTCTATGGTCCATGGCACACCCTCAGTGCCTGGAGACAGGAAATAATCCATGTTATGCAGATGAATGCCCTCTTGCAGCTCTTGCTGAACAGGAAGGAAGTCTCGCTGGCTGTGTTTGGGAGGAGACATCAGTGAATTTCCCTCCTCTGGAAGCTGCTCAGAGTGAACAGGAGCAGGAAAAGGTCGAGGCAAATGAAGGAAGAATGCAAAGGGCAAAGTCTGTTTTCCTATTCTAGACATGAAATGCAGCCTATTCCTATAAGAACACAAAGTAAACGGGGGTAAATTTGAGGAGTGAATGGAAAAAACAACGAAAAAGACTTTGAACAACTTCACTTTTTAAAAGACAAAAGGCATTTTCAGAGCTGAGAAATCACTAAATAGATATTAAAAGATGGAAAAGATAAAGAGTTTTACCTGTGTAAGCAGACTGTGAGCATGGTGAAGACTACAAGAAAACACAGCCCAAAAACACATGACACATACAGCCACACTGTAGCATATTCAATATCATCAGCTCCATCTACTGCCACTGAACCTGAGAGAAAGAAAGAGTAAATGAGGACAGAGGTGAAATGTCACGGAATGCTGAAACGTGTGGAAATTACAGCACATTGTTAAACTTCAAACATGTTATGGTGACCACTTCCTGTTTTGACTTTCCAGTAAGGTGCCACGTTCATTTCCTGTCTGCATTCATTATAGAATTAGCAGATGTGTGAGTAACAGTACCTGAAAGAGAACAATGAGACAAGTTACCCTTTTTTTCTTGCTCAGACTCACCTACACAAGGGTCTTCTCCAGATCCTCCTGAACCTTCAGGAAACATCTCACGGGGCTCCTGAATGACAATGGAAGAAAAAATAAACATAAAGGTTTAAGTATTTTAATATGTCTAAACGGGTACAATAAAAGGCACGTAGAGATATGTCAGTGTGTTTGTGTATTATATTTTGTTGAATGAACTCACCAAAGTAATGCTCTCAGAGGTAGTAGTCATCTCAGGAGCTACAAAGAAATGCAAAGAAACATTCCAATGTTCAAAACATTTTTTAGGGTGAATATAAATGGCTGTCACAACCTTAAAGCTGTTGTTTTGCTCCTCTACAGCAAAGCTTTGTAAGATTAAAAGGTATTTTCAGAAAATTCTAATTGTGTCTTTATACAGACTGTCAATGCTGCTTGGATGTGGCATGAATGCATTTACACAGTAATAATAATTGTGCACTTTGATAATGAGGCTGAAGTTGGTCAGAGCAGGCATAATTTAATCTGGCTTTTAACAGAGAGCCTTGACTCAGCAGTGTAAAGATGTAAAAGTGTATTTTGTCTTGTTCTTTAATATTTAATACTAGAAAATAAAACAACAATTATTCTATACACAGTCATATATGAATTATATAGATTTTTGTCTGTTCGTTTGGTCCTAAAAGCTACTAATAAAACTGTGCAGACCTATAGATGCTACAATTCTTGAGTCTGGAAAAAATAAGACAAAATGTACGTTGGTCCGACTCTGAGTTTGATTTTATGTGGCAAACTTTCATAAATGATTTTCAAAAACAGTTATAACTTGATTTGGTTGAATTGATGCAGAAGTCTGTTTTTATGATTTATTATTATTTTTTAATATATGTACACATGTAGTGTTGTCGGTTGTGTTGGTATGTGATTGTGTATGTTGTTGATTGTTGTACAAAATAAAAACGAAAAAAGCTACTACTAAACAGTGAAATTGCTAATTGAAAATAATTGCATTCTTTGATATTTACAGATACTAATAGGTCATTTGAAACACTAAATTTAATGTGATGTGAAAGGCTTCAACTAAATGGGTCTCTATTTCTAAGCAATTTGTGTGGTTTTTAATTTCAACCACTGTTAGTCTACTAGCAATTTTGGATGTTTGTTGCAAAGCCCTGTCCTTTTTCACAGCTTGCCCAACTGACTGAAAGCTCAATGTCCAAACAAACAATCAGACGCTTTTCCTAATGCAAACAGTGTAAATGATATTCTCATAGACTCCCAGTAAAGTACAGAATCTGGACATGATCTGTTTAGAGTCTCTTATCTGACGAACACTGATCTTTGCTCTCTTAAAATCAATAATACATGTATGTGCCAAATACACACAATACTTAAAAATACACCAAATTTCTATATAGTAGCACAATATTTAGATAGATTAAAACAATTATTACAGTATTAAAAAATAGCATGTATTTTGTTACCTGTCCAAGTGACTGCATAGACCGTGTCAGTCCAATCACTCCAGAGGCCGTCGAACTCATCCTTGGCCTGGAGCTGCACTTCATACTGAATGTGTGGCAGAGCATCATAAATCGTCCAGGACACTTGTCTGTCCGTCCTGTCATCTATCAGCACTGACTGATACTAAATACACACACAAACACACATAAATACAGCCACAGACTCTACACATAACCCAAGCTGTGCTATTTCAAGCATTATACATATATAAGCCTTCCCACTTCACCTGCTCTTTGAGTTGTGGTCGGTATCTCAGCTGGAAATGCAAGGCATAGAAGCCATGCTTCCAGGAACTGGGATACGACCAGGCTACTTTAAGCATATGCTTCTGGCCCTCGACTGCTCTCACCACCACTCGGGTCGGAGGGTCTGGCTTAACTACACAGAAAAAGATTTTTGTTTCATAAGCACATTGGTGGTGCGCTAAAAGTGTGACTAATCAACCTCCCACAGGACAGAAAAACACAAGCACTCACTGATGTCGTGCAGCTTGAAGCTGAGGTAAGGGCTCATGGCACTGCCTGCTGTGTTAGACACGCACAGTTTTGCTGCATGGAGAGCTCTGTCACCCTCCTCCACGTGAAAAGCACACCAACAGCGGGAGCGGGAGAATGAACAAGACACACGAGTGGCATTGCCAAACAATCTTTGCAGAGAGAGAAGAAAAGTGCACAGGAGAGATCAGATGTTTCAAGGAAACCAAAAATAATTCAGTCACAATTCAGTCGCATTCGGTTCCAAAAGTTATTTTGAATGTTTTTCATTAAAAAAGGTAGATTTTTTTGTATTTTTAAACATTTTGACATACTGACCAGATGTAAACTGTAAAAAAAAGCTTTAGATATCTACAAATCTTTATTTTATAAATAAATAATACATGTATTTAAATAATTACATTTTATTACAATAAGGTGACAGGATATTGTCCTACCGCCTTATTGTAGTATATATATATATAAGTGGGGGCAGTCATATTTCAGCGTGACCGTGCCACTCTTTATCACTAAAAGTGCCAGTACGTGCGCTCATTGGCACCCCTTCAGCTGGCGGCGCCCTAGGCAACCGCCTAGCTCGCCTATGCCTAGAAACGGCCCTGCCACACAGCATGTGTTAAGTGCCATATTCAGACAAAGAAACACCCAGAACAGACAGAAGAATGGAGTTAAGGATGTCTACTATGAAGTATATGTATGCAATGAATATAACGTTAAACATTCAGTATTAAC